ACTGCATCACCTCCTCATCATCCTCTCTTGATAAAAAGTATTCATCTCATAATGTCATATGATCTTTCAACAAATATAAAAGACCCTCTTCACTTCTCAAATTTATCTCTATTTCTCTGTATATTATTGGAATTAAATTAGCCTTTTATCTACATTATTTTATTTACCTTTTTTATTAACAGCTACAATATTCATGCCACGGAGAATCGTTAATTTAATGATCTTCAAAATTCAGCCAATTATAATATAATTGATCTATCATTTAAATCACAAGACCAAATATAATACAAAATCAAATAATATTTCTCTATACAAAATATTAAACTATTGTTATTTTCTAATTTTCTATTCACTTCAACTTTAAAAAAACCTTAAAAAACTTAAATATCCAAATCAAAATTTCAAAATTCATTTAATTGCAAATAGCAATATATAGTAAAGATAATGTTATAAAATATATACAGTATATTCTTATCAAAACTGTTTAATTATATATAAAACAAATTAAACAATTAAAAATTAAAAAATTTTAATCAAAATCTAATCTCTAATAATAATATATATAAAACTGATTACAAATAATTTATATATATCAATTAAAAAAAATACAATTAAATTAAATAAAAAATCTTACTATATAAATAAAATTTTTAATTTATAAATCTTTTTATTTAAATTAAAACTTACAATCTAATAGCTGAATTTTTCTTACTTATCTAATATTAACATTTGTACAAATATTAGTATTAATATTAATACAGTATTAGATAGCAAGAAATATCTATTTTTTATATATAAATATAAAATACTTATACTATAACTTACAAGCTAACAAATTTAAAGAAAATCTGTTTTACAGATTTGTTACCTTTAGTCTAAGTTACAATTTTATTAAAATAGATTTTTATTTTTATAAAAGCTATTAAAGCTAGAGCTTTGATTCTAAATTTTTAAAGCAATTTGGATATAATCCAAGTAAATCCAGATTAATTCAGATCTAAATTCAGATTAGATAATAAAACACAAAATTTTTTTTCAAGATAACTTATTTTCTAAGAAAATTTATAAGATATTTGCAAATTTAATGTCAATAGTAAACCTGTAAAACTACGTATTAACACACTTTCGTGTACTGAAGTAAGTTGTTCTATGCTTATAGCACTAATAGTACTTTATTTAATCGAATTTATTTGTAAAAATTTGAATATTTCATATTTTATAGAAATAAATCTTTAAAGGTTAATAGCATTTAGGATAATTTTTTATCTATTAGAATTGTTACTCTAATTCTGATTTTAATATCATTTAAATGCTTTCTTTCTATCTTTGATAACATCTATACCCAATTATCAGTGAAAAAAAATTTAATATGCGTATATGCACTCTGCACGTAAAAATTTTTTGTACATCAAAAGATATAAAATGGTGTGCAAAGCACACATAACTTATTAGCAATATATTTTAAAATTATATATGCAATACACACATAATTTTGATTCTGAATTTTTCTTCCTACCTACTATGATTTATTGTTATCCTAATCTGACGCAAAAATATGTATTGCTTTTAGATTTTTTTTTAAAAATAATATTTGATCTACTAAATTTAGATCTAAATTTGTTCTTTTAGAGCAATAAGATTGCCAGTATCTAAGAACAATCATTCACTTGATACCAATGTTACAGATATTATGAAATACTTTTGGGTTATCTTGGTAAGTTTGAAAATTTTGAAGAATGTATTTTTCACCATTTTAAAGGATTTTTAATGTTTGATATTAATAGTAATAACAAATATTTGGAAATTTTATCCAGGTTTTGTAGATCTGATACCATCTTGTTTTTTTTTTGCTTTTTCATTTGACATTGTTGAAGGTACTTTTTATGCGATTGTATTGCAGATTTTTCTGTATTAGATAAAGTTGAACATACAGACAATTCAGGTGCTTGTTTCTCTAATTCACTGAATTTATTACAAAGCTTTTGAATAATCAGTTGCTTTTCTGAATCATTATCTAAAAAATCTAAATCATTGTAATATAAATCTAATAAAGCTACTGTCAGACCAAGATCACTCGGATTATTCCAATAATAGATTAGTGCTTTATAAATATTCTGCTTTACTTTTTCTAAAATACCTGTTATATCTAAGGAAGTTTTAATTAAAATTTTTTTTTGTAATATTACTTATAATTTTATCATCATCAAAATCAATAGGGAGTGTTTCTTCATCTTCTGACCTAAATACAGTATTCTTATCCAAAAACAGAGTATTATTTGATGATATTAATGTTTCACCTGCTAAATCAAATATCATTTCTTTAATATTTGAAATAACTTTACTTAATATTATATACATATTTTTTGAGAATTCTCATATCACCTCCTCGAATAGTATAAGCAAATCGATAAGTTAATCTATTAATTCCTATTCATTATTCGAAAGAAGAATCTTTTTTAATTTGTTATCATCTTTTTTAACCTTCTAATCAACTGATGTATATAGATTAGCTTGAAGTTGAATAATTGCATCTTTTAAAAAAAAGAAATAATCTTAAGCGTAATACATAGAATTCTAGCAAGTGGATACATCCTGAATGTAATAATATGAAACACAGTAAAGAATATAATCAATTTTGTTATTGAATATTTTAAAAATCAATTAATAATTTTAACCCAACCATTAATCAATTAACCAACTAATCAATTAATTGATTAACTGGTTAATCAATTACTGATTAGATCAAAATTATGCAAGATTATAATCTGTGCTCGATTATGCATATTGCTGATCATTATGTAAAATTCTTTAAAGTTCATTAATGTTAGGATTGGCATTTCATATAAAATTAAAAGCTAAGTGATTATATAGTAAAATTGTACAAGGAAAACTTTTTGTTAGTGTACTAAAAGTGGTTTACTATGCAGATTTTTGAGAAAGAAGCAATTTTTGGAAAAATGAACGTTTGTTTTGATCATACTACATTACATCTGATTCTCAAATCTGATTTGTAGATTATGCATAATCATGCATAACCGAGCACAGATTATAATGTCACCAAAATTATTAATTGATTAATTGTCAATTTAACAAATTATTACGATTTGCAAAATTATATGAAATTTAATTATAAAAGAAGTAAACACTAATTTCTGATTACTAATTTCTGATTTCTTTAATATTTTTTTAATTTTTAGATTAGACAAAATTTGTATATCTATTATTTTATAAAAATTTTATTATTTTTTATAGAAAGAAAGGTTGCATATTTATCATATTTACAAAAATAGATATTGTATATTAAAATATCAAATCAAATTTTTACAAATAATAAGTGTACAAATTTTGTTTAGTTTAAAGATCAAAAAAATGTTGAAGAAATCAAAAATCAGTAATTGGAATTAGTGATTACTTTTTTTTTAGAGAATTGCTATTTCTACAATACAAATTGCTATTTCTATAATAATTACACAAAAATTTCTATTTTTAATAACCAATCAAAATTAAAAAACTAATTTTTTTAAATTTAAAGAAGTTTTTATTAGTAAAGTTATAGAGGAGATTTTTCTGGTTCTAATGGTAGTTAGATCATCAAAATCGGCCTGGTGGATCTCAAGATATTTGAAGTTAAAGATGTGAATATTAGGATCTGCAAATTGATAGTTACACAAAGTATTATAGTCTTTAATATTTTGTGTAACCATCAATTTGCAGATCCTTATATTCGAGTTTTTAACCCCAAATATCTTGGGATCCACCAGGCTGATTTTGATGATCTAATCATTATTAGAACCAGAAAAATCTTCTCTACAACTTTACTTAGAAGCCTAACAAATCCTAACTTAATAAAAACTTCTTTAAATTTTAAAAAATCAACTTTTTTATATTAATTTATTATATTTTTTATTTTAAATGCTAAAATAGAAATTTTTGTATAACTATTGTGGAAATAGCAATTTGTGTTGTGGAAATAACAATTCTTTTTTTTTATTGATTAATTTTTAATTAATATTACTACCTAAATGCAATATAAAATATCCATATAGCTGAGCTTTTTTTGTACTTCTTCTAATCTCTCTGTTTGCTTTTGATATTGAAAAAATTAAATTAGCCTTCTTGTATATACTACCAGGATTTCTACAAATGCTAGACCCTTTTTAATCACCAACTGAAGCGTATGAGCTGCATATAAAAGATATTTGATATTTTTTTTTTTTTTTTTTTTTTTAATGTCTACCTCTTGGGAGCTGGGATTTTTATTCAAGTATATATAGCAAGGAGTTCTCTAGGGAACTCCCTACATTAGAGAGTACATACTAGCCACACGTACACTTTTGGTGTCTAATTTAAGTAGTCCGCCTGTATATCATAC